TATAAATATATAATACATGGCTCTTGGCACTTTATCCACAGCTGTTTTTAGCTCTTCGTCTCTAACTGGTTGGCCACCCCTGGGTTAGAGAACGACAGCAGTGGTGGGTGGGAAGGGACTCAGAGAGGACGTCATGTCCAGCTCCCGGCACTGAGCTAGGACCAACTCAACCTAGACCAGCCCTGACGGGAGTTTGTCCAACCTGGCCTTCAAACCCTCTGGAGACTGAGTCCCACAGCTGCCTTGGGAGCTGATGCTGGAGCAGAACTGCCCTGTGAGTTCGAGAGATTTCCCTGAAATTGAACCCAAATCTCCCTTGCAGAAACTACACCGATGTCCAGCTCCCGGCACTGAGCTAGGACCAACTCAACCTAGACCAGCCCTGACGGGAGTTTGTCCAACCTGGCCTTCAAACCCTCTGGAGACTGAGTCCCACAGCTGCCTTGGGAGCTGATGCTGGAGCAGAACTGCCCTGTGAGTTCGAGAGATTTCCCTGAAATTGAACCCAAATCTCCCTTGCAGAAACTACACCGAGTGCAGGGCATGCCTGCTATATATATAATTGTGCTGCGTGTTTGTGACTACATGTTAATGATCTTAACGTTAAAACAGTGATTTTAGGGCAAACAAAATGGAGTCGGCCACCATGGACTCCATCTTGGGCTTTGCCCCCCCCTCCCGGAACATGCAGCGACCGTTGGGGAACCGGTTCCAACCAGATTTTCCCGCCTTGCTGAGAGTTCCGCTCCCCTCAGGTTTCCCGCCAAAAAGCCCTTGTGAGCCTGGGAGTGAGGCCAGGCGCCGCGCCCGCCCCACAGGCAGCCAGAGCCTGGTCCCCCCCACCCCCCCTGTGAGGGGAACAGGGAGAGACGCCCCATCCACCAGCCATCCCCAAGCACCGTCCACTCACCCACGTCCTGCACCGCCTGCGCCTCTCCGCCCCTCGGCTGTCCTCCCCAGAGGCGCTGTGGGGCCCAGGGGGGGAAGGCCCCGAGCCCCTTTCGAGCAGCAACTCCCATCAGTCACTAGAGCAGATTGTTGTACTGGGGTCGCCCTAACATGCCTTCTCTGACCTGACCGGGGCTGCCCAGCTGGGTCCGGCTTCAAGCCCTCTGAATAAGTCAGGGCATCGCTCTTTTCCTTGTTGTTTGCCTTGCTCGGATGTTGCCTCTGTCCCAAGTCCCCAGATTCTGTACCATCCCCTAATGTGCGCTGTCTTGGGTTGCTTTATACAGCCCCTCACCACCCGGGGAAGGGAAGGGGGTTGCAAACCGCAGGGGACAGACCCTGGAGCAGAGGAACAGGGCTGTGATCGTCAGCACAGGAAAATCCGGCAGACACCCCACAATTCCCTGTGCTAACAGGCGCCTGGTGGAGCTTGGGCAGGGCCTCCGGCTTGATTGATTTTAGCAACTCCCCCCCCCCCCCCCCCCACTCCCCCCCGCC